GATAATATACTCTTATATGAAATGATGATTTATAAACATTTCATTTATTTATTTCATATTATTTATTTATCTTTTTCATTTCTTCATTTTATTTTGTTTGTTTTAGCTCATTTTATAAAATTGATTAATGTTATATCATTCATATTTCATTATTTGTATATTAGTTATTCTACTCTGATATTATTTTATTTTTGTTTTTTTTTATTTCTTTTATTCATCTTTATTGAGATTCGAATGTGGCACATCAGAGACACAACATGCAATCTTAAATAATCAATCTTTGAATCACTCGTTATCATCTGATTATTATATAACTATTAATGAGATAACATACCATCAACACTAATTGTTTATTATTTATTAATGTTATTATAACTGATTATTAAGGATTATTATTTATCATGATATAAGATTATATATTTATTATGATTGTAATATTATTATTTATTATGATACATTATATTTATCATTGATACTTTTGATTGAATACATGATGTGTTATCAAGAAAGATTATTTAAACAATATTGATGATAAATGAGATAAACCATAATTATAATGTTATTGATATGTCAAACATAAATAACAATATAAATAATGATGAATTTTAATATTCATTTATTTCAAAATAAAAATCAGATAACAAATTAAATGATTAAATATTTAATTTGAGAATGATTAAAAAAACAATAAATGAATATAAATAAAAAATGAAGAATAAAGTGAAAGAAACACTTCTCAATATGATGAAAACATAGTCATAATATTTCATATTTAATTTCTTTCTTTTATCTTTTTTATATTTATTTTTATCTTTTCTTCATCATTCATTTCTTCTTTTTATTATTTATTATTATTTTATATTAGATGATATTTTATTATTTTATATTTGTTTATATTGTTTGTTTATATTTTATTATTATTATTTATTGTTGTTTATCTTATATTATTTATTTATTATATGTTGTATTGTATTTAACAATGTTAATATGAAATGAATAATAATGAATAAATATAAAATAAGAATAAAATGATATAAGAATATAACATAAATAATAAAATAAGAAATGTATAATAAATATAAAGATAAAAGAAGAAGAATAAAATAAAGAAATATAAAATAATATAAATAAAATAAAAAATAAATAAAAAAGAATCAAATAAATATTTTATTATATTTTTATTTATCTTTTATTCTTATTTCTTTTTATTATTTATTAAATTAACACAATGAATATGATTATTTCAAATAAAATAAAACAAGAATGAAATATGTCCATTTTTATATTCATTATTTCATTTATTGATAGATGAAATGTTCATTTATTGATTTTATTTTATGTTCTTTTTTATTTTTATATTTCAAATAAATAATAATGAATAAAAATCATTTCATTTCAATTACAATGATTCGTTGTGGTGTGAAACATTCTGGGTATTGTTTTCCACAAAGTGCATTTGATGTTCCTTTATACTCAAAGGATTGTTGAATACAATGTGAAAATATTTTATTATTTTCTTTACAAACAGTGATATCACCTCCGTATCCAAATGAAAACAGTATATCACTTGATTGATCACATAAATAAAATGCATGTTGTGGTTCTTCAATATCAAATTTCATCATTCCTTTTATTCTTCCTTTTGATTCTATTGAAAATAAAAATGATTTTGGATCATTTATCCATTCTTCAACTTTATCAATTTTCACATCAACATATCCTCCAAATTTATTTCCATCTTCATCTTCAATAATAATTATTATATGTTCTTTATTTATTATTCTTTGATTAAATACTGATGTGTTCTGATTCCAATCGTCTTTATCTGAATCAAATATTATACTCCCTATTTTTTTATTTGTCCATTCTTCTAGTTGTTTCATTTCTTCAATTGTATTCATTCCTTTCATTATTCTTAATCTTTCTCCTTCTTGTTTCTTTCTTTCTTCTTCTTCTTTTTTCTTCCTCTCAAAATAATCACTATATTTTTTCTCCCATTCTTCTTTCTTTTTGTTAAATGATTGTGTGATTTTATCTTTTTCTTTTGGTTTTCTGAATACTTTATTTTTCATGATCATTTTTTCAATTGAAATGATTTTATCTATTAATTCATTCCGTGTTTTACTTAGTATTTCTTCATCTGAATTGCACTCTCCTATTATCTTGTTCATTTTATTTGTAATTATTTCTACTGATTTAATTGTTTCATGTCCTTTTTCTATTACTAGTTTTCTTCTTCTTTCTATTTCATCAATTCTATCAAATATTCCTTCTCCTCTTTTAATGGCTTGTCCATATGTTTCATTATCTTGTATTTCAAATATTTCATTTTTAATACTTCCTAAATAATATTGATATTGTTTAGTAGTCTCATCAATTGATTGTTGAATATTTGGAATTGTTTCTATTTCTTCTTTAAAGAGTTGAGTGTTCTTGTTTATTAACTCTTCCATTTTAATTTAATGAGTATCAGATTAAAATAACAAGATGATTAAATACATAGATAAACTTTTATAACACTTCATTTTATTTATTATTTTATCATTATTATTTTATTCATAAATCAAACTCATTTCATATTTTTTAAATAACATTATTTTATAATAAAATTAATAATAAAATATTATTTAATAATATTAATGTATTCTTTATCATTATTTACATTGAAGTTTATCATTTTTATTATATTTTCTATTTGTTCCCATCTTAATTTCTTATTTAATTTATTATTTATTAAATTAATTCAAATCAATACAAAATATCAATTAAATTTTTATTTTTATTTTGTGTTTTATTTTATTATTGTTTGTTTATCATTTCTTGTTTTTTGATATTCAGTGTTTTGTTCTTTTATTTCTAATATTGTCTTTATTATAATGGTAGTTTTATTCATTTGCATTTTCCATGGTGATGTTCTGAGTATTTGTTGTTTATTTATCATTAATATCATTGTTTTCTTCTTCTCAATTTCTGAAATAAAAAATAATCAATAAATTGATGATGATTTGATATTATTTGTTTTTGTTCTTCATTTTCTATTTGTGTTGTTAATTCTTCTTTTGTTTTTCTGAAATCTCATACTTTTCAATTCTACTTTTTTGATATTCAGTGGTTTGTTTTTATTTATTTCTTATGTTCTTCTTCAACACACAATTATTCTTCATCTCATCATTATTA